GAGCTCTGGATCTCCCGGTACTCGCTCCTTAGACATTCTGTCACGCGCCGCATTTTTGTCAGGTTAATCACGTAGCTCGTCGCGATGTTACACGCGCTTCATAGCACACACGCACGCGCGCACAGAGAGAGAGAGAGAGAGAGAGAGAGAGATTGTGTGAGTTAGTCACTCCATCCGTCTCGCTCGCTCTGTTTGCTCGCTGCTACGCGCGGCTTTGAATATTCATCGGTTGCTCGGGGGGCCGATGCCACCAGCCGCTACACACAGTCGCAGCCCCGTGATTGTCGGATGATTAACCTGGGATCCGATACGTCGCGATCTTCCGCACGTACGTGTGTACACGTATGTACGCGGAGGATGTCCTTCGCCGGAGCGAAATTACCATCGACCGAGAGGAGTAGCAGCGTGTTTCTCTCCGCAGAGTCTACGCAGCCCTACGATAAAACAACCACTCGGTACTTTGTAAACAATGAGGAGTGGCGTGCGATCGAATCCTGACGTCCTACACCCGTTAATTTTGTCTCCATTAATTTTACTCCGTCGACAATGTCGGCACCCGCCTCACTTCAAACTAATAAATAAATAGCCCTCGGAGGAGCCTGCGGATCTATGTGGATCGGTATAGGACCAGAGTTGTTTTATGATATTCGAGCCTTTTAATGGCTCGTTTGGAGTCTCAAGGTGAATCAACGCGCTTTTCAAACTTTTGAATCGCCCTGTTTGTTTATACGTAAACCCGGAATGTCCCACGGTTGTCGTTGACTTTCTTCTTCTTCTTCTTCTTCTTCTTCTTCTTCTTCTTCTTCTTTATCATCTGCTTCTTCCTCTTGTTCTTCGTCTTCTTGCCTTTTTTTCGATCGCTCGATTTCTCACAAAAATTTCTCATAAAAATCTATCTTATTTGAAATATTGTATTTGTGCATTGCGTATGGATAGCGACTGTGGGGGCAGGGGGGAGGGGAGGGGGGGGGAGGCTACGGTGAAAATAATCTACGTGACACTTCGTTTTTCAAAATAAATACTACTATCGCCTGTTGGTATTATTAGGCTGTCGAAGAATGGCATTGACGTAATTTTCAAGTTTTACGATAATAAAATATCGAAATATTTCTTCCGAGAGAAAAATGCCGCTGGTTTTTCAAATTGGCGCCCACGAGGACACCGGAATAATGTACTTTTAAATTCCGCAGAGCATTGCGAAATGGCCTTTTATATTATATTTCGCGAGTTCATTTTTTAAACAGCGTAAATTATTATATATATAATTAAATATATATGAGAGGGGGAAGGGGATAAAAAAAAAGAGTAAAACAGAAGAAAGAGAACCAAGGAAAAACTGTACGATTATTCGGCAATAAATAAATTATAGATCGACCAACGATTGAGATATTACGAAATCCTAAATAGATGGCTCGCCATTGTCTATTTACATTTTTTTTTTTTTTTTTTTTTTCATCTTTAGCCGCAATGAATGGATTGTATTCTATTACAAGGCAGTAATTCTTATTGCCGGATGAACGTTGGACAAGTTAAAAATAAGACAATTTTTCGTAAGAATCGCTTCCGTGAGAAATGAAAATTATTTCTCTTATTGTCGCTCTTTATATCCTTCGTCTATCACAATATCCAGACATCACAATGCCTAGTATCCTAAACCTACCAGAGGCACATTTATTAGCAGTGATTACTTATCTATTAGTGCGACAACTTTCGATTAAAATGCAAACAAATATTCTACAAGACTTTCCGCTTATCTCATTTTATTCCTCGAACATTTATTAATCATAACATTGTTTACAAACATGCATCTTTTATTCCCAATGTCAAGCTTCTTTCCACACCATAACGCTGCTGGCACTTTATCGGCATTCTCGGCGATTTATTTCATTTCTTCTCTTTTCTTTAAATTTGCTCGAACGATCCCGCTTCGTTCTCTCTCTCTCTCTCTCTCTCTCTCTCTCTCTCTCCGTGTGTCACTCTAAATAACGTTACCTTTATATACATCGTATGAAAGAATAAGGGCGACAAGTGGGCCAAGATCGCATTACGATCATTTAATCGTTGCAGAAACGGCATTGCAGCTAAATCGTTTGCGTGCCGATAAAAAATATAGAAGATTCCAGGCGAATAAAGCCACGGTTAAGATTCCCCTGAATTCTTACCCTAATTTCCAGTCCCTAAGTTCCATAACCCGTTACTTTCACTTATTAAGCTTCGTCCCCGACGGATAATCGAAGGAGACGAGCATCGACGACTCGCCCCAATTCTCTATCTCACATCCGACCTAACTGTACACAAAATAAATGCCAGCAAAGGAGCCACGAGTTAGCTCATTCCTCCATCAAACTCTTTGAAACTCCTCGTGCTTCACTTCTGACAACTTACCTCGCCCTCTCCAGGTCCTTCCTCGGCTCCGCGTAAAGCCTCCTCCTCTCCTAAATTCGCCACCATTGCATTGCCTGCGGGATGAACCTGGACTCTGAACAGTCCCGTCCGGCGCTCATAGCGAGGCGCGATTGAAACGACACACAACAGATCCAACAGGCTGAAGCACACGCGCACAATACATGTAGGGAGGCGGGCGGCACCAGGAGCTTATCCAGGAGGATTACAACCCGTGGCCTATGCCGATTCTCGTCTCGCGGTGTTGGCGCAGATGCGCGCACACCTGCCTACCGCACGAGGATGACCGAGAATCAGGGAGAGTGAGACGGGGCGAGGGAGTGAAAGAGGAACAGCCGCGTGTGAGTACGTGTAAGAGAGAGAGAGAGAGAGAGAGAGAGAACGAAGCGGACGCGCGTGCATGCGTATACGGAGACGCAGACTGCGAAACGTGTATTATGCCGCAGGAGCGCGAGGCTGCCCGGACAACAGGTTCGTTGGGGTCGACGAGGGGAGAGAGACTGGCGGCGAGCGGCACACCACGGACTGCCACGGAGGGAGAGAGAGAGAGAGAGAGAGAGAGAGAGAGAGTGAGCGAGAGAAAGAGAACGAGACGGTGGGAGAGGGAGGGAGAGAGGTCGGAGAAAGGTAAAGGTTCTGCCGGTGCTCGCGAGATAAAGAGCGTCAGATAGAGATGGATATACACAGAGTGAGAGGGACAGATAGACGTGGTGAGGGAGAGGGAGAGAGAGGTTTAAAAAGAGGAGACCGGAAGGGCCCGACCGACCAGATTATTCGGATGCGTAGTGCGAGAGGAGCACCGATCCGAGTAGATCGCGGCCGCGCAAAGTGCGAACGAACAAAGGGACTAAGTTGTGAGGGGTTTGGAAAAAATTGGCGGCCCAAGAGAATTCGCGATGTCTAATTCTGAATGAAATAAACGCAGAGTTACGATGAGGCACGCGGAATAATGAGCGCCGCCGGGGCAGAGTAGCGGGAGGGACGGGGTTAGGGTCGACGCGCCGCCACAGGTAAATCGGTCGGTCGGCCATGATGAAAACGCCCGCTGCTCCTGCGGTGCAGCATCCACAGCAACAGGTTGTCGAAAACAATGCCACCTTGAGAGCCTCTCGAGTGACGCACTCGTATGCCTTTATCCTTACCTTAAACCACCCCCCCCCCAGTCGCACATTCCCCTCCCGCGCCCCCGTCGCCCGCAACCACCTCATCGCCGCCGCTGGCGGTCGAAGCTTTAGCCTTGGCGCCCTTAAAATACTTTATGGCCTAGGCAATTCTCTCTCTCTCTCTCTCTCCCTCTCTCCCTCTCCCCCTCTCTCGCTCTATAGCCTCAGAGTACCACCATTTTTTATCCTCTCTTTTTAATGACTGTAAATAAAATTTCTTTCGAACGAGGCTACTTTTCACGAGGTTGGCTCCCTAGTTTGTTTATCCACATTCGTCCATCCACATGTCCTGCTGCTCGCTCGAGTTCAAGGCTGCAACGGACTCTTCTTTTTTACCCTTTTTTTACGTCTATTCCAGGTATGTCGCAAAGGCTCGGAGTTCTCGGGCAGTTTGGCTCTATTTTGACACGAGTTCAAAACAAACCCTTTTCCAGTTGCAAAGCTCGTGTGACGCTCTCGTGCGAGTCCGGCTTGACATTCATAAGGATAAGGCCGGGGCGTCACAGCGCCAATAATATCAAAATTTGAATATCGAAAGCTAATTTGCATCTCTCGTACGCACGTAAGCGGTCCTGTTCGCGAAGCGGCGAAATGTCTTGTATTTGTAGCTGCGTGCGCGTGTACGTGCGTGCGCGCGCTCGCGCACTTATCAATTGGTTGCGTGCCTGCATTATGTTTTTGCGTTAACCTAGAGAATTCTCGGGCGCTTTATTACGGATTCGAAATCGATGACTGAAACGCAGTTTTGTTTTGTCGGCGTAGGAGAGGGTGAGGGTGAGGGCGATGGCGACGGCGAGGAGGAAGAGGAGGAGGAGATCAAATTCGATGGCAATGTAACTTAACCTTATCTTTGTAAACGGAATTTATAAAAAGTGTGCGCATTCGCTTGGGAGACGACGCTCGCGAGCCTTGATTCACGTGTCGTAAGACGGCATTTGACGAATTGAAAAAAATTGAAAAAGTCGACATGTATGCGCGACATTGACATCGTTCCTCGTGTTTGCACAATTTTCGTCGACCTTTACAAAAAAGCTTTAATATGTAGATAAAGCACTTGAATAATACGTTAATTGCCGCACAATATCGTAGCGCAAATGGTAATAAATAACGGGTCACGGGTGCCGATATTTTTATGTCAATAATGTTGAATAAAATTACAGGCTGACGAATGCGAGTCGTTGATGAAATTTACGCACACTAGTTCAATACCAATTCATAATAAATCTGTGCTCTATTTGTATCGAATAAAAAAAAAAAAAGAAGGAAAAGATAAATTAGTGATAAAGAAATTGTTTGCTAAAAGGCGATTACTGGCTTAGTCTCGGATCCGGCTCCTACTGCATCCTAATTAACCTTTAGTGCGTGATTTAAATGACGATGGATGGTTCGCTTATTATCGAACTTACGTCAAATTAAATGTTATAATCAAATAACGCTAATGAAAAATAAAAATATCTCCCCTAGAGGTAGTACGAAAATAGTAATGAGTAGCGCTCACTACACTAAACAGTGCCAACAGCAACATAACCTTATAAATCGTCTCCTCCGCGGAGCACGAAGTGCGCGTACTCCAACGATGATCCGCACTTAGGTCTTTCTCTGGGAAATATTCGCACAGATGTCGCACGAAATGGGAAAAAGAGTGAAAGAGAGGAGGTCGTAGAGGGATACAGTTTTCGTTTTCTATAATATCGAATTTCGATGTGGAGGTGGAGGACTATTCGAAAGTGCTCGCTCCATCCTCGTCTCACAAGTAAGAAAAGTTTTCTTTAACGTACGCGATGTGGCGGGACGTCGTGGGCATTTTAACAAATTCCATATTATGTGATATAAAAAAATTAATGCCGCGGCATTGACCTTTTGTGCAAGACCTCCCTAGGAATGGCGCGCGACAACCAACGAATCTTCGATCGGAAAATGATTCGCACTCTTGCGTGGGAATGCCGCATCACCTCGGCATTGCGTACTACTAGTGTCAATTTTTTTTTTTTTTTTCATTCAAACGTCCATTCATTATCATTCCCGCTGCATCTTTTATTTTACGTATGCATTGCTTGGGACTCGATGCAAAAGCATTTGAAGCGTTTCACTGGTTTTGTAATAATTGTATTAATGCTTTCGTGATGTAATCGATACGATTTCGCATGATTTGATTGGATTTTATTGGATTTTATTCGAGCTTATATTATTAGCTTTTATAGTTTAGTAGCCTAAATGGTATTTTAATAGCTCATTTGGGTTGGCGCAGAAATCAATTTTGTACGAATTGGCTTGAACGTAGATCGATTTTTTAGCCTTTCACGTTAATGTTTTTAATTCATAACCGATAAAGTGTAATAATTCGTTCGAGTGTAATGAGAGTAATAAAGATGTTAAATGCGTGTAACGAATGATTCAGCTTGGTAACAAGCTTTTATAAATTATTCCAAACAATTCGTAAATTGAGATTCTGTATGTTAAATTGCAGTTGACTGTAGCCCGATGCAGCGTAGGGTATTGTTTGTTTCATTATTAGGTTGTTACTTGCTTGTTATTTAAAATTCTTTAATACCATATAATTTATAATGTCTGCATTGCAGAGTATTAATGATAGCGGTGCCGTTGCTTTTTCAGGTATATATTCTTGTAAACAAAGATGCCAGCCATTTGAGTGACTAATATTAAAAGATGGAAGCGATGGATATAAGACTTACGATTTAAAAAACCAATCATGGTTTTGTATTTATCATACTGGGTGATAATTTAAGTTCCTGTGTGATCAATCGACTTAAGTAAGACATATAGAGCATGGAGGTTAATAATGTCGTAGGCAGCAAGAGTTCCATATATTTGGTGGTACCTTTTCGAAAATTGTGTATAGTCACGGTTTCCATACCACTCACTACTTTGTTATTTTGTTTTGTCACAGCCTACATATATCAACAAGATGACATCCATGAAACGCACTGTAGGGTAAGAAATTTTCATGTATAAACATTGGCGATGGCAATTTAGATTTTAAAATGAAATTGTATGTAATTTAATGGCAATTGAATATTTGAAATATATGTTTCTCGCTTACTTAGACGAATATCAGTGCAATAACAAATATTTTAAATACCCGACACGCTGAAATTCAAATCATTAATTGATATTCTCCAATTACATTAATGTAATTGCACGTGCAATTTGGTAAATATTGTTTATAACTTCTCTAGGTATATAATGTTCTTCCTTCGATATCAGCTATTACTGGGGTATCGCCTCAAAGATACTTGTGGCGCGTGAGCATTGCTCTTCATATTGGACCACGTCTACTAATAGCCAGTGTTTATTATTCATTTTATCATAAAATTCTCAAGACCATTGAGAACGTGCGTAAAAGATTACAAGGATCCAGGCTTTTGAATCTTTGTTACTGGTTGAATATTTCAGAAGTCGCTGCTCTATGCGGCGTCACCTATATTTCTAATAAAGAAAATTATGGCAAGTTGCAATAAATACTAATTAACATTTATTGATATTAAATTAAATTAAAACGCAAATTTGATTAAGAGCTACAATAAAATGCCTTTTAAAAATCTCCAACAGTTTTATAGTTTTATTAAAGAATTTGTGCTTTATTTGTAAATCTGTGTATGTATTAATCTAAGGAGAAAATAAAAAATATATTTGAAATTGTATAAAAATAAGTAAGAAACTATCGATTGCTCATGCTAAGCGAAGAGCCAATGCTTTATCTATCGCAATATTAAGCAAATTAGGCAGAAGGATAAATTCAAATGTTTTAATCTGTGTACCTTTTCTTGATAGCTGTGCACGAGAAAACCTTTATAGTTTTCATGATAAGTTCTCTCACACACATGCTGATAGCTGTAAGATTAGGTCGCTTAATTACCCCAAATGCACAAAGTCTGCAGTACAAACAAATCCTTTTTGCAACAAGCATGGTTAGCACCGTGGGCCTTATAATTTTCTTCTTGAAGCATCGATTATTGTGCCACGATCTGGGTAAGAACATCTCATCATGACTGTTGCTAATACTATTATTAATTCAGTGTGTAACTCTTCCATGCAGTTCTAGCTAAATTTTTTATCGTATAGCTAATAATTTGTACGATAAATTTTATGATTGATTAGAAAACATTAGAACAAAGCAATTTTTAACTAATTCGTATGAGAAAATTTAAATGTCGTTATAAACTCTACAATGTGTTCGAAACTCTTAATGCACTAAGCTACTTTCTATTTTATTTATCACATAAAATTTTGAACTTGCATTTTACCTTCATAAGTAATTGACATAATTTTTTACTACGATTAATATAATAGTTACTGTGAAATATAACATTGAGACTAATATACTAATACATAATTTAATATTTTAACAGCATTTAGTTGGTTCTCTTTATGCGAGTATGTGATAGCTTCAGCAAACATGGCATTTCATGCTACTGTCATATTAGATTTTCCTGTGGATCAGCTCGTCGTAGGAAATGGTTTAAACGCAATTAAAGGAGATTAATAAAAGAACAAAATTTTACATACATCATCGTATGAAATTGCACACGATATCTGTCTTTATGCAATATTCTACTTCTACTTTCAAAATATGTTGGAATTTGAGATTCTTTGTTACCATTGACGGTAAATACAAGAACTTTTCAAGACAGAAATCACTGAAGAGCAATTGTACCATGCACATACGCAGCAGCAGATAAGGGAGGCGTGATATAATAATACTCCATGGTATTCGATGATGATGTAATTGTAGTGCGATGGTTTTTTGCTATCGACACTAGTAGCAAAAAAACTTATAGTAATTAATTATTAGCGAAATAAGAAATATGTCTTGTAATTCAATAAATTTAAAATGCTTACCTTATTTTCATAGTAGCATTTTTGTGTGAGATGTAAAGTGCAATTTGAATTTGTCTGAGAACAATGTTAAAGGAAGTAAGCAGAAATTTAAGCGTAAGGATTCTAGTCGATATGATATCTAGTCATTGGAACATTTATCGGCTTTAATTATCTAGTTTAAATTTATATTAGTTGAATAGAAGACGAATTAAAAGCTTTGACCAATTGATCTCAGAAATTTGAAATGCTTTGATAAAGGATTTGATTAAACGATCGCGGTTTTAAACGGTTGTATGTCATATCATCAAAGTTGTTAACTAAAATTAAAAATTAATCGTGTAAAGGCAAAAAAATTAAAGTGGAGCACGTATAATAAGAAATTAAATGGAATAGAGCACTTGTAATATTGAACGACCGTTGGTCTTTAGTGCATTCAAAATATTATTTGTAGAAAATTAACGTTCGGTATACTCGCTCTTCTAATTTATCTCGATTAAACTTGATTAAAATTGAATTGAATGAATAGATATTGAAGATGTTGGGAGAGAGATTGCGATTCACCGATAAATTACGTGATAATAACGCGTTAAAATAATAAAATCAGCCAATGTATTTAAGAGGTTTAAAACTGTCAAAATATGTTTTAATTAGTTGATAAAATATTTGTAGAGTTTGATACGACTCAACTATATATGTATATCAACCAGCCAATAAGATAATTCTATATTTTGATAAATGCAAATTCACTTTTTAATACTTTTTTTCAAAATCTCTCAAAACCACTACAGATTATTGCTTATAACGAAGCAAAATCAAAATGAAATATTATTTACGTAACTGTTGGATAGCCTGAAAAATATTGCCGAAAAGATCCTATTTACATTGTCTGTATGTTTTTTCTTTTCTCTCTTTTTTTTTTTTTTTTTTTTTTTTTTTTCCCATTTAAATTCTTTTATATTTAATTAATGTATCAACGTAATGATATAAATATAAATTTAATATTATAAAAGTTTTCAAGTACTTATTAACGATTGTTAATAGAAACATTTTTTAAATTTCTTTTACGTAAACACTTTGGTAAGCAGTAAAAGTAGTTAAGACTTTGTTGTAACAATCGATTGTAAATGTTATGTACATTACGTATATTGTATTTATAATAAAACAATAATCGACGATTGTCGAAGATACGAGATTTTAATGTATATATATATTGTTCAAGTGCCAAGTGATGCACTAATGATAATCCATACGCATAACGTACTTTTTTTTACAATGTCTAATGCGCATACAATGTAAAAATACATTAGTGTCTTCGTTTATTATATTATTAGGAAATTTAAAAAATCAAAAAGTTTTAATAATTCTATTTTAATTATCAATATTGTTTTTTTAAAAAATTCTAGTCTTTGGAAGTGTTTTTATTATATAAGTAGTACCCTGTGCTATTAGTTTGTTATAAAAAATGTATGTTGAAGCAAAATATTATTGTTCATTTGATACTAAATGTAATTGGAATGTGCATCGTATAAATATATGCCATTTTAATTATTTTAACATTTGGCTTCCATTTTATAAGTGAAAATTAAATTGTTAAGTGCGTATTAAAAATATCATTTGAAGCAATAAGTATTTTAATGACTATATGTAAAATATGGACATCTTGTAAAAATTTTAACGGCAAGTGTAAACGTAAAATTTTTCGAATTGATCATAATAATTGAGTCGACATCATTCAATTAATCATTCTAGCGAAAAATAATTATGATTTATCTGAAACTAAATACATTAAGATTAAATGTAGAATTAGGCAATAAGTATAAATGTCATTCCGCACCTACCTTTATGTCATATAATAGTAACAACTCCCTCGCTATGCTTCTCTATCTCTCTCGTGACAGCAAACTTTTTACGAGGCTAACGAATGAAGGTTTTCTAACACTTTGTATTTTTATTTGCTCGTTCATTAGGTTTTATATAGAACGTACTTTTATTGGTACATCACGTATAAAATGTAAAAATGCAAGTGTGAATAATACATGATACATAGAAATTTATTTTACTTCAATTATTCATTATATTATAAAATTCAGAAGTAATTTTAATAATATGAAATAAAATTGTACGACTGTTGAATAATGCTTTACACTGTTAATATTTATTCTTTATTTAACCCTTTATTATTGAAAATTATTTATTATCATATTATTTAACTTAAATTTTTATGAACATATTATGTTTTAATAATGCATTAAAGTCTTTTGAAATAAATAATCATTATGTTGTTTTTAATGTACCTGTTTATCATTAATTTTTATATTGCAAAGGCCAAATATAATAAATGTATTTCTTATTTTGCGATGAAAAAAAAAAAAAAAAAAAAAAAAAAAAAAATTTCAAAGAAAAAAAATCGATAACTTCAAGGAATTAATACAAATAATTATTTGTATTCGTTGAAAACAGTTAAGATAAAAAATTTATAATTGTATTATTGACATTAAATATAGGATTGTATTTAATATTTAATCTACATTCGCTTATTATCATTATTATTATTATTATAAATCTTTCTTTTCCATTTTACGAATATATATTTTATTTTATATTGACAAGATTTTTTTTTACCTGTTTAATACCGATAAATAAATTTGTTAGTTCAATATTCTTTTTTTACCTTTCATGTATTATGATATCTATATAATAAACATTCAAAAATTATTAAATTTTGCCGAATTATTTTTTATATATTTAGTGGATATAAATATAGTTATTAGAATTATGAAATATAAACAATAATAAAATTCGTTTATTTTTAATACTTTTGTTCTTTCTATTTCCCAATATATATATATATATATATATCTTTTTATTTTGTTTCAATTTATGCAAATAAATATTGTTAAATTTATATTTCAGTTCTATATTATTATAGCAAATATTTCCCTCTTTTTTCAAATCATTCGGTAATAATTAATTATAATTTATGTAAAACGTTAAATTACAAGTATCGTATAAACGAACGTTATCCAAGCATATATTAAAAATTCTACTTTAGCGATAATTTCATTTTATATTCTCATTGTTAAAATTGTCAAAACCACGCGAGTTGCATTGTTTTGCATTTCGAGAAAAAGAAATCAATTAACAACACTATAAGTATTGTCGGTATATCTATATGTTTTAGCAAAGTTTATTTCCGGCAATAGGCGCTGTCTGTTTAACTATTCATTTCTGACTCGGGAAAAAAAAAAAAAAAAATAAAAAAAAAAAATATAAGCATCCAATAAGAGAAAAATATTAATGAAAATGAAATCAATAAGGCTTATTAATCGATTGCGTTTGTGAATAAAAATTTCTTGTAAAACTTGCCCCAAAAGTCGTGGATCTCACGATAAGAGAGCAAAAGGTAAAGCAAAAAATACCTTCACTTCGTTTTTCTCTAGTTTCTCGTTATTTTGTCCTTCAGTGCCACTCAGCTAATTTCATAAATTTCGTGGATTTTGTCTTGATTAGCTCGCGTTCCAATTTCTTAGTGCTTTGTTATACCATGGCGCTTTATCGCGAAATTCTGTTTTGTAACTTTTGAATTCTCAGAGGCGTTTAAGCCATTATGTTTTTTATGTTGTTGACGAAAACAGGCAGTATTATTTTTAATTATTTCTTATTCCTACTTTTTACAATTATTCTTTTCATATTTAGTATCTTAACAACACAACAACACGACATTTAACACGATAATAGGTAAAAATAATAGATAAAAAATTTAATAAATATTGATGATATTGATTGATAGTGAAGTTATTAGGAATTATTTCTCTAGATAAAAGTTGGCGAGAAAAATTATTAATTTTGAGTATTTGTTCGTTTAGAGTTTGAGCAGCGAAAAATAAAATTAATAATATAGATTTATAGACCTGATATGCTAAGTTAAAGGGAACTGAGATATTGTAAATTAATGTTCTTTTCTGTTCTTTGCTTTTTAATATTCTTTTCACTTGGGAAGTGCGACGGAAAACTTTAATAACTACTGTATGTGATACAGAATTTTTATTATTTATCAGTTACTTAATAATTTCTCTAAAAAGTTGTTTTCTTACCACTGCATGTTTTACTACACGTGGACGTTTTTATAATATGCATTTCTAGTATCTAATAATACTACAATGATACTACAGTTTAAAAGGAATTTAAACGAATTGCAATAGTTCAATGAAAATATTGTGAGAACCAAATAGAATATTACAATGTTAAAATAATATTTGGTAAGATTGTTTTTCATATTATTAAACAAAAATTCAAATTTAATTTGGAATGATTATAATGACATTTCGCCGTTTATGAAAGATAAAAGTATTGCTTTGCAAACGTTTATTAATCTACTTGATACGCGTTCATAAAATCATAATCAACGATTCGTTCATTATGTTCTTCTTGCATAGAATTAAAGAGAATATAATTAATAGTATGAAAGTTAAAGCTTGTTAATTCATTATCACTATTATTTATTTGGATTTCTCCTATGTTACATTTTCAACGAAAGACAACTTTTATTTAATGTACATATTGTAAATTCAATATTATTATGCTAATAAATCAGTGAAAATAAAATTATACAAATAAATAAAAAAATGTTCCGTCTGCTCGAGCATTTTCTACTGTTTTCTAGGCAATTTAAGAAATTGATTTTTCTTTTTTCTTTTTTCTTTTTTCATTTTTTCATTTTTCATTTTTCATTTTTAATCGTTTCATTGGCTGCTTAATTTATTTAGTTGCCGTGAATCCACGTTGAATTGCACAAAATTTCATCTTTTGTTGCGTTGCTTTGTAGCGATGCTTTTCGTTCGCATTCCATACACCACCAAAGAAAATCGAGTTTGTGAACGTCTACGTCAGTTATTGGTGGCTGATGACAGAGTGGATGATAAAGCTCTCGACACTCTTGACATTGAAGTAGTATCAGTGGACCGAATTCCGAGACATTACATACCTTTTGAAACATCAATAAATTTTATGTGCTCGTTTATATTGTAGCAGCTAATCAATAATTATTAAAATGAATTCAATGTTAACGTTCGTTCGCTAAAGCATTCCTTGCATATTTATGAGCCATAATCAGACGTTACGAATAATGTTGAAATTTCATGTAACCATGTATTTAATAAAATCATGCATAAACATAAATAATCGTTAAATGATTTTCAAGCGTAATTAGAGATTTTCCAACGCTATCGGGACTTATTATCTTTTTTTTTTTTTTTGTCATATTAACATTATAATTATTCGAGTAATTTTTACTTCAGTCTCTCTCTCTCTTTCTCTCTCTCTCTCTCTCTCTCTCTCTCTCTCTCTCTCCTTCAAACAAAGTGGAAAGAAACATCCACTTAAACATTATATATTACATTAACATTATTTGCATTCGTTTACTAATCGTCATTACAAAACTATAAAACTCCCATAATAAATTGATAGATATTTGGATAATGAAATATAGAAATTGTAGGCGATTTATCGTTATCATTTGAGCAATGATTAAACCCCGTACGTTGGGGCTACATTTGAACATTTTACCACTTGAATTAAGGGCAAAAGGGATAATACAAGTACATAAAACATTTACGGTGTACTATGCAAACTATTATTTCATCATATTGTATCTGCAGTTGACACAACTTTACCAACTCGAGTTTCTCGGTACATAGCAGTGTAACAAAGCCACAGTGACACCGAGCTATGCACAAAATAGTTTGCCTTTGTCGTTTACGGTCACTTGAAACGATGCAAAACTTTATTTTTGCACACGCCATATAAAATATAATAATAATAATAGTCATAAATAATGCTCTTTTATAACGAAAAGTCGGGAAACAATTTTCAGAGCTTACTTTTTCATAATGTGCACACGCACATGTTTACCGATAAACATTAATGACTTATTTTAATACACGACGTCTTTCTATATTTATACATGATTTTTTTTTTTTTTTTATCATAGTTTAGCATACAGTTTTTATCATAGAAATGAATGGAAAAATTCCTTAAACAGGCTGTATTATGCACTTGTAAAATGCCGATAATGTTAAAGTGTACAAAAATTGTGTTGCTGCACTATTTTTATACGCCTATTTTAGAAATGCAATATTTTTCATTCTCAAAGCAGTTATTTTAATTATAAACGAATTAACTGAATTTATGCATTTTTCAGGAAATGAACATTCATTTAACAAATTAATTAATTTCACGTATAAAGCAGTAATAATATCAAACTGGAATTGCGTACTATGAAATTTGATTTAACAAATTATCGATACACTACACTACGTACGAAGAAATTTCAATCGAGAGACAATGTTTGTTAGCTGTTTGCTAGCGATTTCATTATTTTAATTAAAAAAAAAAAAAAAAAAAAAAAAAAAAAAAAAATATGCAACCAAAATATTTATCTTTAAAATTTATATTTATAAATAAATATATGTGGATGTATAATCAATATATGATAAAGGATTATTATTATCTAATAGCTGTATATATTTACAATAAATATGTTTATTGATATTTGCAGCGCAACTACAATAACGTTAAAATATATTGTAACATTTTACTGTTAAATGTACACATGTTAAATTACTAATTGATAATTATTTTTTTTTTTTTTTTTTTTTTTTTTAAAAAATTTTTTTTATTTATTTTAATATGCTTTAATGTGTTATTTATATTATTTATGAAAATCTTTATAAAATTCATATATTTTACATAAATTAAAAATCATATGTATATAAGGAAGAGAACGAAAATGAAAAATATTATAATTAAAATACAGAAGATCAATGTAATTTCCACGTTTATTTAACTTGATGTAATATCTAATACATAAATTACTTTGGTAGAAAAATTTCTGGCATTATTTCATATTATTACCGAATCTTGAATGATAATACGTTACTATGCTATGGTATAACAATTTAATTCGTTTGAAGCAATCGATGCCACTGTTTTTACAAACTTTTTTTTGTAAATTGAATTGAATGTACGAAAAAATTTCTGCAAATATAGAATCTTTACTAATTTTAATACTTTTTACTACGAGTAAAATAATCTTAAACAATTGCTAAAGTTTTGTAAATGAATATAAAATCCTTAACATAACTACTTAGTAAAACCAATGTCGTGGTTAATTAAGATACTAACAACAATTCCTGTTTTATTAATAACATTACATTTATTATTATTTACAGACGGGTTGTGTTTTAGTTTTAGAGCTTTTAGGCATATGCAGAAAAGTTAATTATTGTGCGTTGACTGTAATGATAATTAAAGATAAATTGTACAAAGCCGACAATTCTAATGGGACATTAGGATGAGTTGTGAAAAAGGAATTCGCTTCGAAAAGGAAAACAGTCTTTGATATTTGATAAAAAGGAGATTTATAGGAAAAACCTTGCAGACGGTGCTGTCGTTTTGGCCCTCATCGGGAATAGAAATCCTAGGGACCTCGTCCTTATCATCCTCGTCGTTTCCAGCGACGTTAGCGAAGTAGCTCCGCCCGGGTTCTTCTTTCAGCTCCTCCTGGTCCTGAAATTCCGATTCCAGGGGCCTGTCGAGGGTCGTTCTTGTCGATCCATATCGTTTCACGATCGATGTAAGCAATAGTCCGCGAAGTTCCTCAGCACTTCCGGCCTCGGTCGAGTGGAGGAGACGCAGCGCCTTGATGAACTCCTCGGTGAGGCTCGTCGATGTGGTATTCGATGTCTCGTATTCGGAAAACATGGGCTTACTTTCCTCTCGACTCTGTCCGCGCATGAAAAACAATGCCCGGGGTACTTTAAATTAACAATAAACGCGCCGAGCACGAAGAAAACTATTAAGTCGTATATAGAGTAAAGCGTAGGTCATAAGTGTCGATGAGAGATCATAATTGGCCAATTCGAGGTAGAAAATAGATGAGAAAAGTAGCTGGAGGATGGCTTATTATTTTTTTTTTTTTTCTCTAACATTCGGATATCGACAAAAAGGATATTATGATAGCATAGAGTTCAATTATGCCACCTTGTATAATTTCGTGTAAATAGTATAAAGAATAAATAAGTGAAGTAAATATATAAGAATTTCGTGTTTCAAAATTATTGATGTAGACAATGTTTGAAAGAGCATAAATTTCATTGAACTAATCACAGATACTTTAAATATTTTGAAAAATATAGTATCGACATAGATTATAGGCATATAATTAAATTATTGAATATATGGATATTATTGAGTGTCAATTCAGCAGTAAATTTTTCATTTAGAGCCTTTAAGCATTGAAAACATAAATTGAAATATTTTTGCATATTCCGTAGATGATGTAACGATTGCACATTCGTTGAAGCTGTACATTTAGCTTTTGTACTATTGATTAGTATATTGGATTAAATTTAATAATAATATTAGTGATTTGAGTAAACGATATAATCATATCTGTACTTGCCCAGTTCAATTTAAATTTCCTATTTTATTTACAGATATATAGAAATATTTATGTATAACAATTCATAAGAAGTATTACTAAAGAAGTTTAAGGATTTTTTTAAAAATCGTAATAATATTAACAAAATTATAAATTGTTATGAATTATAAATTCATATTATGAAAATTGAAGAATTAATTTAACAATAAAATGATTTCAAGGCTTAAATTTAATTAATATTTATATACGAAGGAATGCTATATTTATCTCTCATTTTTAAGGTTTTAATAAGGAAGTATAAGTACCATACAATTTCCATTATCCTGCGTATTTTTAATTTGTATATAATAATGTTTTTCTGTTTATAATATTCTATATATATATATATATATATATATATATATGTGTGTATATTATAAGCCTATAGTAAGAAAGTGGCTGATAAATCATGATATTTACACGTCATTATGTTACAGTTTCCTCTTGTAATGGAATATTTGTTTTACCAAATATACAATATATAAAGTGAAAGATAAATATAAAGTAAACATTTATTACAATGTGTAATATATTGTAAGATAAGAAATAAAACGTCGTATAAAACTTTGGAAAAGCATGGAGAACCTGTACGGATTATAAATATTAGTTATTATAACCTTGTTTTAATTGCGTAAAATTAATTGTACTTTTAAATTGAAGAGCAATACGATGAAGTAAAAGTACGTGAAATGAATACACGATCAATTATATACGTAATATTAGAAAGAGAAAAAGTAATAAATAGCGAATAACAGTTTACCGCTAACTTTATCACAAATCTCTTTCGTTCTCTCTCTCTAACACACACGCACACACACACACTCACACACACACACACACTCTCTCTCTCTCTCTCTATCTCTCTCTCTCTCTCTCTCTCTCTCTCTCTCTCTCGCCGTGTCCCTCTCAATGCTTTACTCACGCTGTCCGTTTTGCAATTTCACTCTATCCTCAACCTCGGTAAAGCTAATCAAATTCACGAAAGGAAATTTATGTCAGACTGATTAGTCGTTAGGAAATGTTGATGTCTCGATAGATGCAAACTTACTTATCGTGGCTTGTCAACGTTACGCTGCCGTAGCCGTTTGCGCTGCGCTCGTAAATCAACCGACGTGATATTATACACACGGACGTTATGCTGTAGATAACGAGCTACTGCTTCTCTCCGTCCGGTCCAGATGCTTTAGCGGTAAATAAATTACATTGCGAGAAATCCTGCGAGCTACAATCGCTTCAAGAAGTATTGAAATCTTTACAGCCTCTCCTTTCCCCTCGCAATGCCTAGCTATACTATTTTCTTTCCCTCTCGCTCGCTCTCTTTGTGCGCGTACGCGCACGCATTGACAGTCTGAAATCGGCCGATTTTGAAAATGACAGTACAAAGTCTGGAAAACTCATCGGGCATTCACCATTAATTATCTAATTCGATCATTTAACACATCTAATGTTTAATGTTTAATGTCAGGGCAATGCTTTGTGGCCTAAATATTTTTATCCACTTGTGAGATATTTAAGCTTATAATATTTCTTACTTTGGACATACAAGGCGCACGTGAAATATTACCTTTTATTAATGATGAAAAATATCTGACGGAAAGTATTCGTTTAAAAAAATTATAATTAATCATTTAATGGAATAAATGTGTGAAGATTTATAAGCAAAATGCGCTTATAACAATTAAAAATACATAAATAATATTGATTATTAAATACATTTAGTGTCAGAGAACGATATTTTTAATTTGAATTTTTATTTTTTTTATATATGTATATATATATATATATATATATATATATATATATATATATATATATATAGATATTTTCTCTCACACTCACACAATGCTTTGTGGCCTAAATATTTTTATCCACTTGTGAGATATTTAAGCTTATAATATTTCTTACTTTGGACATACAAGGCGCACGTGAAATATTACCTTTTATTAATGATGAAAAATATCTGACGGAAAGTATTCGTTTAAAAAAATTATAATTAATCATTTAATGGAATAAATGTGTGAAGATTTATAAGCAAAATGCGCTTATAACAATTAAAAATACATAAATAATATTGATTATTAAATACATTTAGTGTCAGAGAACGATATTTTTAATTTGAATTTTTATTTTTTTTATATATGTATATATATATATATATATATATATATATATATATATATATATATATATAGCGATTTTCACTCCGAAGCTGATCTATAAGGAGTTTAGATTTGGTTTGCTTTGATGTGCTCGTCCCCGCTTTTCTTTTGAATTTCGTTAAACTTCATTCGCATTGATTTTCCAACCCGATTTTCGCGATTTAAAATCTCGAATAACATTAAAATCGCGACTTCTAACGAAATAATTAATACGAATCAATGATGGTAAATTATATTTCAATAAATTTGAAAAACAATTCTAAATACATTTTCCCTAAATATAAAATTATTTAACGTTAAATTTAATTAATCCAATAGTGTCAATTTCGTTAATCAATGCTTTATTCATTTTAATTAATATGATATGTGCCTTCGTGCATGTAATAGATAGAGACAGCGGATGCAAATAAATTACAATTATTTCTCATTGGAGCCGATATTACATATTATCAGAAATTTTATTATGTTCGCACATATCGATTTATCGCTACATATCTCCAAACAGAAATGTAAAGGCTTTCCGATTTAATTACTCCTCGCAGCATGAAACTTCCAAACGAGTGTTGCTAAATCGTAAGGCTCCTCTTGAGTCTCGACATTACGCGGCTTCCAAGTAATAACTTTTACAGCACTGTCGAAGAAAAGGAAGAAGGAATCGTCGAGCGCAGTAACAATGCGCATTAAAATAAAAGCAAATGTCATATCATCTTAGCCGACCGAGTATCCAAATCGATGAATTATCCTGCTTATCCAGAAATACGCGTAGAGAATGCGAGTACTTGACTCGAAAAGCCATATGTCATAGCCGCCGTTAATTCCGACCCCGGGAAATCGGGGTTATACGCGCCCGCTGAAATGGACCAATTGGGTGTCATCTTAAGGTATGCCACTCGGATTGTGCTGTGTTGGTACGCACCGAATGGAATCCTTCCAAGTGCCCTATCCATCCACACAGACCGACGAGTAAGATTTGAGACAACGTTGTACTTTGAGCTTCTCTCTTTGTCCATTACTCTCTCTCTCTCTCTCTCTCTCTCTCTCTCTCTCTCTCTCTGTGCGTGTACGAGGTAGAGACCGATGCGCAAACGACGTCGACGATGGGCTTGGCATGCGCCCCCGGAGATATGCAAGACACGGAGTAATGCAACATCCTTCGGGATCGAACAACAAGAGAGGCTGATGTTTATATATATACAGACTCGCGCACACGCAAACAGACACAAACGCTTACACGTGTGCGTACATACATATATATATATATATATATATATATATATATAAATGAGCACCTGTGCACGTTTGCTGGCACGCGGGCGTCCTTAAGGGAACATTTGCTGACATTAATGTTGAAACGCAAGGGACCACTATCAAACGGATAGAATAGTAGTGGCTCACGGATGTATTGCCTCGTGCTTGATTTTACAAACATTTTACGTGAGACAATGTGGCTGATCGATGACTCAGGTCGTAAACTTATTAATAATTGCCAATATGCTGCCTTAGTATCTAGAGGGACATTCTTTCGATCGTAAAATCTTTAAATCCTTTAGCGAGGCACAGGTTCTCCACCAATTACACCATACACATCTTATTAATTTATTATATAAGTATATAAGTTTCACGACATTTTACGAATCGTTCCAATTTTTAATAATTAAAATGATCCAATTTTTACATTGATCATAATGTATCGTAATGATATAATAATTATATGTCTAGCCAAATGTTCTCGTTATGATTATCATTAATGTTCGCGAGCAATAATCTAAAAATTATACCTTCTCAAAACTTTTCAGATATTGAATGTTCTGATGAATCGCTGTATGTTGCATGATATGCGTGAATATTTAACAAATTATTAAGAAGGAGGTACAAAGATAGCGAGTCTCGTGTTTTTAAAACGCAATCGTTTAAAATTATAAGTTTCCTCTTTTGAACATTAATAAATCTTCGTTTATATACACGTGAAGTTATAACAACATTTTGCAGTACAATGGCCGCGCGTTTTGTATGTTTATGTGCGTGCGAATTACGATATGATAAATTAATAATTAAAGATAGATATTAAATGGATTATTAAATAAAATATTGTTTATAATATGCAATGGTAATTAATATTCATTTCTCGATTAATTTATTGGCTT